GGTTACCAAAGGGGATGCCATCAACTGGGTACCATCGGGACCACAGCACAAGACAGCCAAATGAAAAAACTCCAACAAGAGAAAGTTAATGGGAAACAGAGGAGGCAGAAAATCCCAAAGCTCAAACCAACGAATTGCAAAGTGTGGCAGAAGCAGTTCATCAGAACAGTTAAAAGAGTAATTCTGATATACTGATTCTGATATACCTGAGTGAGAAATACAGAAGGTGCCACAAGTTCAAGTGATCATAATCACCACAACTTCAGGTTACAGACTTTCAACATAAAGTCTCTATCAACATTTTTTAAGGCCAGAACGAAACAAAGAATGCTCGCAAGTATGTGCCAGATTTAGGGTCAAAAAGATGAACTAGTGCTAAAAATTTTTATAGTTTAGATAAAGAAGAGGATGATGAAGAGGATCCATGCCTTGGGTGCTAAGTGCTAGTAACCTCTACCCCAAAACGGCGGCTCTCTACGATACGCAAAGTATCTGGGCTGAAGATCAACGTACTCTACAGATTATGTGTGTGGATGTTAGATTAGAATATTGTGTTGTGACCCTAGATTAGGAGATTGTGCATGTTTATTTTTTGTTTTAGTTTTATTCTTTACTGTATGTAAAATAATAATGACCCCCAGAAGCAAATAGATAACTAATTGTATGCTTAAAATACTACTTTTATGATGATATCAACAAAATAGAATCAAGTCTTTTACTGTGTCCTCATCAGAACAGGACACAGAGGTTTGGCGTGATTCTATTCCAAAGTGCAATTACATGATTTGGTCATTTGTAATAATACTGTGACATATATTTGTCATTAGGTAATGTGGCTGAGGGCTAGATCATGAAGTTGCACTATGGGCCAAAAGCAAGAATATTAAGACTTAAAGTCTTAAGAGGAGGGATTATATGAGGTGGATTTTGTGCTCTTTGGAGTGTGAAGTTAATCTATATATTCAGGGTATATGTGTATAATCTGCTTGTAGACTTGCATACCATTAAAACAATTGGACATGGGAAATGGCTTGAGGAAACAACTAGGGGTCATAAAAGAAGGGATGAAAAGAGAGTGGTAAAAGAGCCTGAGGTGTCTCAGGAAACAGATGTCAGAGGTGGTATTTGGGGTCAGGGGTTAAACGAGGAGGTATCTTGTGTAATATATGGAGAACAAAGGAAAACAACGGATGTAAAAGGGTATTTAAATAAGCCAAGAACAGGAGTGAGGCAGAATTTTTCAGACAGAGATGCTACTGGGGGTCTCCTGAAAGTTCTCCTTTGTTGTCGACAATAAAGTATATTCTTCTGATATTCATAACCTCCAGACTGAGTTTGATTTAGTAAGAGAAAAACCAAGAAAACCACTACAATTCTCAGTGTCCAAAATAAAGGAGTGCAAAAGTAAGAGCCTTTATTCTCTGTGCGTTTACATGGTTTAATGAATGAATGAATACTAGAAACTCATAGACCGCTAAAATATTGGAGGGAATGTGGAGACATAAAAAATATAGATATTTTTTAATTTCTTACTTACATTTATGAATAGAAATGTATTTTTTTTCAATATAGACTTTTTATAATTAAAAAAATAATCAAATAAACTCATATTTCTCATCTCGCGCACATGGACCTGCTTGTACAACACTGGAATCCATCACATCCGGTCGGAGATGATCGGAACTTCACGCAACTCCCAGACTACTCTCCATTGGAAATGACTTCCGGTCTGTCACTTGTCGTAGTCTGACTGACTGAGTGATCATCGGGTTATTGATCTCCTCCTGAACAAGGCCCTTCTCCCAGATTACTCAGCTTAGATGGCCGGTCAGCTCTAGGAAGAGTCGTGGTGATTTCAAACATCTTCTACTTACGGATGACGGAGGCCACTGTGCTCATTGAAACTTTCAGAGCAGCAGAATGTTTTCTGTAACCTTTTCCAACCTTTTGCCTCAAGACAATCCTGTCTCTGAGGTCTACAGACAATTCCTTTGTCTTCATGTTTGGTTTGGGCTTTGACATGCACTGTCAACCCTGGGACCATATATAAACAGGTGTATGCCTTTTCAAATCATGTCCAATCAATTGAATTTACCACAGGTGAACCCCAATTAAGCTGCTGAAACATTTCAAGAATGCTCAGTGGAAACAGAATGTACCTGAGCTCAATTTAGAGCTTCATGTAAATGTGATTTTTCAGGTTTTTTATTTAATAAATTTGCAACAATTAAATTTTTTTTTTTGAGTTTTGATATTTTGAGTAAATAAATGAATTGAATCAATTTTAGATTAAGGCTGTAACATAAAAAAATGTGGAAAAAGTAAAGCGCTGAATACTTTCCAGATGCACTGTACATAAAAACAAAATACATATATGATTTTGGGAGTCTAGCAATATTTAGATACCCCAATCAAATAATCAAATTTAAAATCCAATTTTTTTTAACTATATATTGTGCAGTCCTTTTTGTGCATAACATGAACTATGTGTTAATAGTAAAGAACACTCAGAGATCATTCAGCATTCGCACAGCTTTTTTTACAAGAGGAGCGTGCAGTGGGTTCAGGGGGCGTTGGAGATTTAGGGGAGGGAGAAAGTTCAGGATTATCTGCAGATTCTTGTATTTGTTGACCCACAGGTGATTTAGTTTCAGATAATTCCTGTAGTAATGAAACAGCAGCTCTCTTTTCTCCTTCTCCTTTGGGAGTTTCCTCTCCGTCTTTCTCTTCTCTTCTCCTCGGCCCACATGGACAGAAGCAGTACTTCTTTTCTGAACTTTCTGAGCTTCTTGTGCTGAATAACAGCACTGTCAGAAACAGAGTCTCCAGCTTCATCAAGGTCCTCCTCGCATAACTGGAGCTTCATCACTTCACTCGACAAATATTCCTCCTCTTTTTCCTCCTCCTCCAAAGCAACCATCTGTCTAATAAGATGATGAACTTGAGAGCAGCAGGAGAAATCCTCATAAGATGAAGGACATACTCTGGGCAGAGCGCCAACATCATGAGAGTCAAGAAACAAACTCAGAAGAGCTCCTTGTCTTGTAGGAGGACAAACTGGAGAGTAATGTCGGAAGAAATCCTCATATGATGAAGGACACACTCCAGACAGAGCGGCAGCATCATGATTGTCAGAAAACACACTCAGAAGAGCAGCTCGTCTTGTAGAAGTACGAATAACTGGACCATCAGGAGACACCATGGAAAAGTCTCCTGCTTCACTGAGGTCCTCCTCGCTTTGATGGAGCTCTATCCAGGATTGCACCTCTTTATCTTCCTCCTTTACCTCCCAAGCAATCATTCGTCCCAACGATTTGGGACTTTCAGGGGATTTGCAGGCTTGGATCTCCTCAAACTCTTTCTCCTCAACCTCAATGTTAAGGAGCAGGATGTCAGTAGGAGAAGCAACTCATCTGGTAGAAGGACAAATTGAGGAGCAGGGTGGGAGAACAGCCCATCTGCTGCAGGAACAGGACGTGGAGGAACAGGCCATGATTTTGGGGACTTTGGCAGTGAGCTGACATGAGTGGCTGGAAGAGCAAAGTCTACAGAGAGGCCTGGAAGCTCAAGTAGGTCTGCGTCATTGGGCTTCAGGACAAAAAGTTTGACAGGAGTCAGCAGAGGTTTGACTTTCACCAGAAAGTGCAGTTTTATTTCTGCACATTTTGTCTTTCTCAGTGCAGTTGATGGCCTCGTTCTCGGAATGTTTCTCAACCTCCATTGGTTCTTTTGGATCACTCTGCCTTGTCTCCATAAGTGCTCTGCTGAACAGCGCTATCATGAATAAATAAAGGCCAAAAATCAATTTAAGATGAAGGAAAAGTTGCTGTGGATAACTGTGACTCCTCAAACACCAACAGAAGGTCAGATGTAAAAGTGTGGTTTCTGCTAGAATAGAATTCTACTTTTGACATCATAACATTCAGTAAGTGAATTTACAAAGCGGTTTCCTTCTCTTGCCTTGCTGTGTTTTTGATGCTTTGTTTGTTTAATGTTTTTGTTTTATTGTTTGCTGCCTGGGGTGACACTGTGGCTCAGTGGGTAGCACTATCACCCTACAGCAAGAAGGTTGCTGGTTCAAGTCCCGGCTGGGTCAGTTGGCATTTCTGTGTGGAGTTTGCATGTTCGTCTCTTGTTGGCATAAGTTTCCTTCAGGTCCTCCGGTTTCCCCCACAGTCCAAAGATATGTGCTATAGGTGAATTGAATAAACTATATTGGTCATAGTGTATGTGTGCTGTGACGGTTGGAGTGTTGTTTAACCAGTGTCCGCTAGATGGAGGTGTTCCATGATTTGGTATTCTCTCGGAGTGTTGAACAGGTGCGGTGTTTTGCCGTGATTACGTTTAGACCAGGTGCGGAGTGTTACCTGTGATGTGCGTTTGGATAAAGACAAAGAGAACAGGATTGCGGTTTTCATCCATCCCTCTTCAGTTTTGGAGTTTTTCTTGTTTTCTTTTCTTTATATTTATGTATCATTACACTTAATTTTTTATTAAATATATTTAAGTTGATTTGATTTTCTGGTTTGGATCTTTATTTGGTTTTGTTGCTACTTTCTTGAGCCAGAGTGTTGTAACAGTGCATGAGAGAGTGTATGGGTGTTTTCCAGTACTGGGATGCACCTGTGTAAAGCATGTGCTGTATAAGTTGGCGGTTCATTCCGCTGTGCTGAATGAAAATAATTGAAAGAATGTTTTCCGCCTGCCTTGGCCCATTCGCCTCTTTTATTATTCACCCTTTGGATTATTTGTGTATGCTTGCCTACTCCTGTTTAACATGATTTTGACAAAATCTGTAATTTTAGACAGTAAAAATCAACTGTTTATCATATGAAACCTCAATTGTTTTTAGATGTAAACTTAAAAATGATGGATGTAAATCTTATTAAAGCAGACTTCCAAAACAACACAGTAACCTTTAAAGTAGGAGAATAGGAAAATCTTATACTCACTTATGAACAATAACACAGTCTAATATATTTTATAAAGGCATATCTAACCTGAATCTGTGTGCTTCAGGAGCAATGGCTTTCTTCTGAGTTTCCTTAAACACCGGGGACTTGAGATATCGCCCGTATGAGTCCTTGATGAAAGATCATAGTTGCATTAATTCCATGTTTGCAGACAATTGAGTTGCAATATTTGACTTGAGATTAGATACCTTTTTCATGAGCATGTAAATGTGAGTCTGGGCAGCATCCAGTACATAACGATGAGGGTGTCCCAAACCCTTCACTGTTATTTCCATTGTTTTCCCATCAATGTTAATCCAACGAGGAGCTCCACGAGCCAAAAAGGTCCTAATTAAACAAAAGTTAAAATGTCAGTGCTGATGTAATTTAAGTAAACATTTAAATCAACCAACCAACCAACCGACCAATTAAGAAATTGTACTGTTATATACATTTGGTCACCAAGTATGTCCCAGGAGCTACATTTTTTTTGCAGTTTTTGTTTTCATGAATCCACCAGAGGCTGCTGTTTTTGCTTTTTGAGATCTCAAATTTGCCATTGGAGTGCCATCCGTGCCTGCAGTTCTCGCGTAAAACCACCAGAGGCCGCTGTCGACTGACTTATTGACTGACTGACCAATCGACTGACCCACCCTCCTCTAGCCCTTAACCCAACTGACAGTTTTAACAAATAATCAAGAAAAAGAAAAAGCCCTTGCCAGATTTTTACCATGTTTTCAGATCTTAACACGTTCTCTGTTTAAAATCGTATTCATTGTAGTTTTTTGTTCTGTATGTTTGATCTGTTTGATGAAGCAAGTTAATAACGTTTGTTTAGAAAACAATTTAAAAAATGTACCGACCCCAAACATTTGAACAGAAGTGTATACTGTACATGCAATATATATAATATATAAATTAACTATTTTTTGAGCCAAGAGAATGAAAAATTGATGCTTACTTGTATATTTGCTGAGCCTTTTCTTTCATTGTCTCTGCTGCACCCCATTTCAGATCTTCACAAGCCTCCCAGAAGGCAAGATTCTCACCTGTTCACAAATCAGTTTAAAGTCACAAATAGTTTTAACCATTTAATTCCATTACTAGTAAAAATTTTAAAACTGAACCAATTCACTAATTAAAGAGAAGATTAGCAAAGAATTAAAATGATCTTATCATTTAAAGACAACCAATTAAGCGGTTTTAAACTTTAATTAGTTTATTTTTTATTTTATTTTTTTTGCAGTTGTTAAAAACTGGCAGACATTGACATCCATAGTATGAAAGAAAAATACTATCAAAGTCAATGGCTAAAAGCCAAAAATCATCTTTTTTGTTCAACAGATAACAGAAAAGTGGTAGATGAGTTCTAATCTTAATATTGTTAAAATTTCTAGTGCGAATGTTTAATATCACATACCACTAAACTCCTTTTTAAGGAAGAGTCGGAAATCAGCCCTTCCTCGTTGGTCAGTCAGCAGTTCTCCAAAGCTGAAAGTCCAGCGCTCCACCCTCATTTTAGTAGGGGTCTCAACACTGTTAGATCCAAACACAAGACATCAGAAACCTGTTTCATGGCATCAAATAAACAATACACATATATTTATAATATATAATATTTATGATATAATATATATAATTCCTTTTTCTCCAAAAAGAGTTAAATTGAGTATTACGACTGACTGAGAAAATTGCTAATCTCTAGGTCGATATGGTTAGGAACCATAATCTCATTCTGTTTTTGTGGCTTTGATTATAATTTGTAATAGCTTGGTGCTAGGGAAAATTTTCAGGCAATGTATAATACCATTGTGCATGCTGCAGCCAATAGCATGGCAGCTATTAAGTTCCTTAATTATTAGTCCAGAGATTATAGTTGCTAGCCATATCAACCTAGAAAATAGCAACTTTTCATTGTCTGTCAGTCTTGGTACATGATGTAACTACAGTCAAATCAACATAGGAAAATAATTTTAAATAGGTAAATAATTTAAACACTTAAATGATAATGGTCTAATCCAATTCAATGATCCCACCATACCCTGAGAGATCAGTTGAATTTGTTCTAAAAGGTTAAACTGTTTAACTCTAGGAAAGTTTTAAGCAGTATGTATGTTTGACACCCAGTGGTTAAATTAGGTATTACATTCCTGGATCAAACAAATGAAAGCACGGGTTGCCAGACTGAGAACCAACTGGAGCGAGTCTGACGATTGATCCAAAATGCTGATTTAAATCATGTATCAAAAAAGCATTGGCACGCAATAGAAGGGATATTTTTTTAATATTAAAAGGAGTTTTTATTCTAACAACAAAAAAAAAAATTATGTGAGTTTGAATACCATTTCCCGTGACATTTGTTGCTAATTAATAACCTAATGTGAAACTGAATCTGCGTCTTAATTTAGCGTCTGCTACTGTCCCCCAGTGGTAACATTTTGGTTACGGGCACATGATTTGAGAGCTTTTCTGAATGAATGAATGAAATATGTGGTTTCATACAAGGCAACCCAAGGAACTATATTGATATATAATTGGCTAAACTGGCATTGGGCGGGTTAAAAAAACTAATAAAAAGACAGCATTCAATTTTCAAAAGCACAATATCTGACTTCGGCATTGTTTTACAGATAAACAAGAATGTTCACTTAGCACATTTCTTAAATATCTGCAAACATATTAGGGTATTTTTATGCTTTAGAAGAGTTAAAAACATACAGCACCATGAAAATTTTTTTATTTTATTATATTTTTTAAGTGGAGTGTTCCTTTAAACATACTGTAACCCTTTTTTACATTCTCACTTAACATAATCTCATATAACAAAACAAAAAAGTCATGGAATCTAATGAAATGCTTTAAAACACTGCAGCTCACTTTGGCATGTTAAGAGTCCAATATGTAATATCATCAGTTAACCAGGGGCTACTCGGAAGACACGGGTGGAGAAAGGGGTCGTGCTCTTTGTATGTTGTTGAGTACTTAACAATTCTGCAAAATATCAAAATAAAGTCAAAATACAACATAATTTACAATAATTTCATGAATTTTAAAAATATTTTAAAGAATTGTAGCTTTATAATAATTTATGAATGCAGTTATAGTTTAACAGTAACTTACGCTCCAATTGACACAGATGACTTTACCCTTGGTCTCATGATGCACTGCTGAGTGAACATGATCTGCAAGCAAACACATTGATTCATTGATTCTAATTGATTTTGTGGCCTTTTACAATGAACTTAATTGAGCCAATTCTTACTCACAATTCTTCTGTAGTAGTCAGATGTTTTTTTCTGCAAAACAATTTGGAAGAAGTTTTAAAGGAAGAGAAAGAAACTCGTGAAAAAAAATTGTTAACATTTGAGCATGTAGGCCTTATGAGAAAAGCCAGACAGAATCTGCAGACGTTTTTTTTTTTTTTTTTCACAGAATTGTGTAAAAAATCTGTGAATTCATGACGAATGGTTTTGAGAGAGTGCTAACTAAAGCTAAACACATAAAAAACAAACATTAACTATTTAACTTTTATTTGAATGTTTACACTACAAATCCAATTAGAACCACTTAATTGGTAAATAGGGTAAGTCTCATATAATAAATTAGCAAAAGACAGAAAATATGACTTTACAAACTCTATTGTACATAAATTGTAAAAATAAATAAAAACATTTGTATAGTATTCAATAATACCAAAATAAACACTCAATAAATATCTTTACACACATCTACATAAGTAGACAAATTGAATAAGCTCAAAAATCTGCAGATTACTGCATGTGCAAAATCTGTGTGAGCATAGTTATGGGGCATAGTAGTGAGAAAGAGAAAGAGAGAGAGAGAAAGAGAAAGAGAGATAGAGAAGTTTAGCAATACATTTATTTGCCCAATTTAATTCACATTCTGAATAATATAATCCTTAATATACAGACATCCTCAAAAACCTATTTGATTCTTATGTACCACACATAACACTTCATTAACTCACGTTATATCATATTTCACAAAAAAATCATATTGATGCTTTGATGACCTGCAATGTTATTTCAAAAGTGTGCACTCATATTTCTATATTACACAGACAAATATATGTGATCCAATGTTTGTGTTTTCATTTTGCAGTCATCTGTTCTTTGTTTTGTTTAGTCAAATCAAATCTGTAGAAAAAAGAAAGAGAGAACTGTGTAAGACAAGTTTGCTGCAGTGACAAGCAGTGAGATTACAATCATTTAAATCCCTTCGGATGTTAGCTGAAAATAGACATATCCTTGATAAGCCTCCCATCACAATTATAATCTCTGTACGATTATCTGTTAATGTGGTTATAAAGCCTGTTGTCCTATTACAAGATTCCTAATCAATACTAAAATGTTTCAAAGCTTAGCAGCCATCATATTGCTTTTTATTTTAAGAAACACATTAGTCCTCTCACATACCTTTACCTCCTCCATATTGGGGTCGATCATCCTTTCATGTCCATAATCCATGGCACTAACTGTTCCTGGCTTTTGGGTGGAAAAAAACACATACTATGAGGTCTTGTTAAGGTTCTAAAATGTTATTTACAACATTAAGTCTTAATCTAACTACAGGAAAGGTGTCACATTAATTGACCTTATAAACTCACTGGCCGCTTTATTAGGTACAGGATTTTAGCTTCATATCTAATCAGCCAGTCACATGGCAGAAACTCAATGTATTCAATGCTGTAGTGCTGAAGTTCAAACCAAGAATCAGAATAGTGATTTAAGTAATTTTAGCGCCAGACAGGCTGGTCTGATTATTTCAGAAACTGCTGAACTACTTGGATTTTCACGCCAAACAAAATAGTTTTATGTATTATTATACTATATATATATATATATATAATCTACTATAGAGATTATAAATAATTTTAAGAATCTACTATAGAATCTACTATATATATATATAATCTACTCTGCCCACAGAGAGCAATAGCAGATTAATAGAATCACTACAGTTTGACAAATATTGCAGCTGTTGGACAACATAATATACTTTTTTAGGGGAGAATATAGTTGTTTAGATTGCAACTATGCTGTTTATTTATAAGGGCATTGCCTATATTAAATATTTATATATAGTTTCTGAGATCATCAGCGATCAGCCTGTCATACTGAGCAGAGCAAAGACAGGTAGTAAAAAACTTAGTATTCTCTTTTCATATTTCAAACTACAACTGATCAAATCAATATAAAACAGGTAAGTTACATTTAAAGTTGATCTCTCTCTTTTGTATGTTGTAGTACTTTATTTATACCACATAGTCTGCTAGTGTTAGCTTTGCTTTGGCTTTTTTGGGGTGAACTATTGTGATCTCCTAATTGCAACTAAATGCAAATATCAAGAAATCTCTGTAGACTGATGGCATTTCATGTCGTTTTTTTAGACATTAGATATTACTCAAGAGAATCTTTCAAATACTAGCTCTAAAGTGACGTGTTTTTAAGCAATGGTTTTTGCTGTTCTGACGTCAGCTACAGATGTAAATAGCCACGTTTCAACTATCGCGCCTAAAGCGAGTGAGCCAGGGCAAGCCAAGGCCAGTCGCGTCTCCACTGTCACTTCTGGGGCCTAATTGGGCCAAATCGGGGCTTTCTTGGGGCCAGCGGCCAGCCTTTTTCGGCCCACTGAATACCTTGGGCCAAGAAGGGCCAACTGGGGCTTCGGGGAGAAGTGAAAGGAGAGGCGGAGCACGAGCACAGTTTTCCGATCGCACACGAGTACATGCACCAAACAAATATATAAAAAAGGGAAAGAAAACATCTAGCTTAATAGGCTGGGGTCTTTTGCGTATGATCGCCCTTATGTTTCCCCTTTAAATGTAAGGCTGTTGCATAAAATAATCAAGTTTAAATTTATAAGCAACTTTTCTTTGCAGCGTCCTTCTTGATGTTTCAGTAACGCATAATAATCTTTACACCATATTAAAGGAACAGCAGAAAGGTTTTCAAGAGTTTTGTCAAGTTTAAAAGGTGTGTTTATGCACGTTTAGATGCCTGTATGTGTGTGTGAGACGCAGGAAAAGGAGGAGCTCCCTTCATAGCTCTGTTGATGCCGTGGGTTGCTTTTTTCTTTTTGTTATTTATTTTGGAGATATACACAATATGAATACAACAGAAAGACATGAAACTTTAAAAATTTTGTGTCCACTTTTGTAGGCTTAAAACAATAGTGTCATATCTTCATAAAATAGCCTAAGCTAAATAATTTTAAGAATTACAAATATCGGATATAATAAAATCGCATTAAAAAAATTTACCAATATAAAACTAACAATAGCTAAACCAATATAGGAATATACAATACATAAATCAAACCATTTTTAACCCATATTAAACTTTCAATTTACAAAGGCCTCTCTGAAAAAAAATAAAAAATAAAATTTTTTTTAGATGTTTTCTAAAACCAAAAAACACCGAAGATGATTTGAAATATTATTTATTTGGATATGATGATATTAATCAAATCATGCAAACAGAGCATTTTTAGGGTGAGTGAAAGCAGAAACTAGGCAACCTTTTTTTCTGTAGGCTATGGCTATCTTTTTTTCTTAAATACATGAAGAGCTTTATTAGTGCTGCTAAACGCACAACGAAACATAGGCTATATTTGGGCTGAATGTTTGACGGCATCAATCTAAACGTGGACATTATAAAATACATTTTCTTTTTTCTTTTAATTTTTCTGTCTTTATTAACAGAGAATGTCTGTGGTTTTATATTATGATTGGTGCGCTCACTGCGCTGGGTCCCTCCGTATGTGGCAAGACCACTCGATTTCGATGCCAACAGTCGGTCGGTGAGTAAATGAATATGATGAATAAGAACACACAGGCCTGTGCGTATAGACATATAATGTAATGCTAAACAGTAACGTGTCATTTTTTTGTTTATTTGAATGGTGTCGTTATGATGCGATGGAGTGCTTTATCTGCCTGGTTCCCGCTGAAGTGGGTGGGTAGTGTGACGTTTTGATTCTGGGGGATGCTCTGGGGGCGGGGTTTGCGTGACACACACACACACACACACACACACACAAACACACACACACATATATATGTAAATCCCGGGAGCGGGAGACATGTCCCCTCCCATCCAAGGGTTGTCCCACCCAAAAAAATAAATTATTAAAAATAAAAACTCTCAATTGTGAAAAATATATGTATATATAGCTAAAGTAATTATCTAAGTAGACAGTAGACAACAAGTAGACAGTATCATTTAAAATGCATTTACAAACAGTTGAGTTTCCTCTCCCCTTCCTCAGAGTGGTTCGGTCCACTGCGTACTTTCCCTCATCTCACCTACTCACACACACACACACACACAAACATCAGGTGTGTGGCTGCGGCTGAGTAAATGCACTGGCCTCTGTCCATCATGGCCTTCTAACCATCCCCATATCATAATTGGCTTTATCACTCTGTCTCCTCTCCACCAATCAGCTTGTGTGTGGAATGGACTCTGGCGCAATATGGCTGGCGTCACGTCATCCAGGTGGATGCTGCACACTGGTGGTGGATAAGGAAATTCCCCCAATGTGTAAAGTGCTTTGAGTGTCTAAAAAACGCTTACAAATGTAAGGAATTATTTTTATTATAACTGAGCTCTACAAAAGAGCATCTCTGAACAGTCATCATGAACAAATCAAACCTTGAAGCAGATGAGCTACAGAAGCAGTCTTTCACCATGTCCTTCCCAGCCATTCCCCTTACAAACCAGTAGAGGTCATCATCACCAGAATACTAGCAGTTTGTTGAATTCCAAAACGTCCAGCACCTTATGACATTTGTCACTCGCATATCGTCACCTTGGAATTATAAGGTTTTACCTTCGTTCTGAATGATTTTGCGATATTAAGCTTCAAGTTTTTGCATTCCATAGCAAACAGTGAGTGTGTGCAACATTTTTTTTTAAATCTACAACAATTTGACAAAAATGTCAGATAGAACCTTATAATTCTAAGGATGACGACTACTACCACAGTTCCTTGCGATGTCTTGTTTTGGTAAGTGGACATTTCTGAATGTTTCACATATTTCGCTGGACTGTTTTCCTGGTTGCTGACTTTGTTTGTGTTCCTGATTGTGATTGTGTTCTGCCTGCATAGAACCCAACCTGTATATTCATGTACGATTCTATGCTGCCAGCTCTGACCCTCGCCTGGAGTCTCATTTATGATAACTCTCTGTGTGTCCTGACCACTGCTCTGTTTGACTACACCAGCTTTAAAGCTCAGTTATCCATTTCTTTGAATGCTACATGTTACATTGTTGCTGTGACTTGCATTGTAAATAAAGAAGCTAGCAAATCTCCTGAGTCTCCCTTACATAGACAAAGAGCACAGTGGTGACAATCCTTTCAGATAAAAAACAGCCATTTCCATCACTTCATGGCCATAGTATTAAGTAGTACTCATTTTAAATTCATTCATATATTCATATTACTCATTTATATTTTGGCTTTCAACTTCCACTGTCACAAAATCGCAAACTGTTTCCTAAACATGTCAATGAGTTACTAAATTCAAATGGTAACCAAATCTGAAAGCAACTGAGTGCCTTTGACATGTGCTGGAAGGGGAGATTTGCATCATGTCAGCCATGCTGACAAAATTCAAAGTTCCCAACACCTTGCTGCTCAATCTATGTCAAAGAGTTAAGGTGGTTCTGAACGCCAAAGAATCCAAGGTGTACCTAACAAAGTGGCCAGCATGTGTTTTCAGTTTCAAAGATAACTCACTGGTGGCCGATGTACAACCCAGTAGGCCCGTTCCTGACAGTCAAAAACCACCCGGTCTGGTTTCTTCCGCTCCTTACCTGCCCTAAAACAAGCAATTAGCTTTGTTGAAGACTGAAATACAAAATATTGTTTAAAAATAAATCAAGAAAAACACAGAGCCTCATTTACTGATTCATAGCCAGAGGTGTGCGTACATTCATGCAGGTATAAATATTTCTATGCAGTCTTGCCTGTGTTTTATGCAAATTAAAACTGAAAAAATGAAACTGACACGTAGGCATGTTCATTTACAATACTCTCAATTCAATAATATTGAAAAGAGTATAAGAATGAGTGAAACCCTAATGTAAATGGTTTGCAATTTGTAAGTATGAATAAGTGAATATTATTAGTTAATAAGACCTATGTCTAATCATAAAGATTCTCTAATATTTAGCCTGTACCTGTACTGCTCTTTGGCCTGCATTACAATAAAATCCCACTTGTGATTCATCCACTTGTAAAGATTGTTGTACTCTTCCTGGAAAGAAAATCAAACAAATTTTACACTTATTAAATCCAAAGTATAGTAATTTTTCATGCAATTTATCACAGGTAAAAAGTTAAAATAAAACAAAATAAGTTACAGTCATCAGTCACTCGCATGACACTTTCATTCATATTCAGAACACAAATGAAGATTTTTAAAAATTAAATATGCAATAAAGAGATTGTGTTTCTATATGATTCTAGAAAAGTCTATTCTTTATTGAAATTCTATTCTCCAAAAACATTTATGCTTCTAGATCACAGATGCCCAAACTAGGGCCCGTGGGTAGGCATGTCATAATAATCAATATATTGACTTATCGTGCAATACTTGGAGATGACCTCAATAATTTGTGCTGTTGCAATATATTTGCAATATATTTACCTCTGTTCTAGATGTTTCTAAGAGAGATAATTTTAACTTCACAAATAATCATTCATTAGAGAACATAATCATAAGTTGTACTCCTTCCACAAGAAAAAACCTCACAGGACATGTGACACGCAAGAATGAACCTGAAATCTGTTCTTGCACATACAAAACAAGCTTGAGCTTTGATCAAATCTGGTTACTGTCAATATTGTCCACTGATCTATGTTTACATGTTAATAAAAGCAAAAATTTTATATATTTATCATTTTCTCTTTAGAAGACTTTGACAAAAAAGTTTTATGGTGAATATAACTTCAGTACATGGACAAAAATTGCTCATATTTAATTTGAAAATATCTTTACTTTAGTTAAACTACATTATATAATTTTGCAACAACCAGATGATGTGATGAAATTTTGTCATAATTTATCATTCTGACATCCAGTTACCTGTTCATACAGCTCCAGCATCCCTTTCTTGCGTATATTTCTTTTCGCCAAATATATTGCTGAAAATACACATGTAAACATCTGACTCTCCCAGTAAAAGCCATTTTAAGATGCAATGTGACTCAACATGAAAGCAATTTATCACATTCTTCAGCCCAGACAGCTGTTTGAAACCATAATGAATAATCTCACTGTGAAATATTGCTATGACAACCTATCAGCACGCATGGAAAAATGAACCATGATTACACACCATAGTCTGTGTCTTCCACCGGCCATTGCTGTGCAGGCCAAAAATATGGTGTCTGGAGGAAGAAATGTATGGAAGAAATGGTATGATTAGTACAAACGCATATGGACTGTAATGTGTCAAAGTAAACTGTCCCACATAGCAAAATTTCTCTGGCCCAGCTCTGGCCCACACAATCAGGTTTTGCTTGGCCCGCGTGCCGCAGTGAATTACGGTACATGACTGGACCAAATCTGGCTTCCAGACAAGGGCCAAACATGGACCATATGTGGGCCAAGTTAATAACTCATAACTGGGCCTGAACTGGGCCAAATAGGTTGGTGTGTCACGATTGCAATGAAATTGATAAACCCATGGAGTGATGCGCTTTAGGCACACTATGGGCACGCTTTTTCTCAAAGTGACCTGATTGGTAGAATTTTTTTTCTTTACTCAAAAATGATTTTAGTGTATTTTAAATGTGGGTCAAGACTGGCCAAACTCACATGGCCCACTTATCAAATTTTTAAATCTGGGCCAAATACTACGTTTTTCATCTGGCCCAAATCTTGTGTGCCGCCTTAAAAACGGTGCCACCTCTGCCAAACCCGGGCCATGTTTGGCCCACATGCTGTATGCCAGTGCCGGATGAATGCCTGCTGTGCCAGCTTTATGCCAAATCTGGGCCAGAATTCTTTGCTACTAGGGTGTAATAAGGGAAAGGCCATTTCTAAATTTGTGGAAATTCTTCACTCCACACACGCACACACACGCACACACACACACACACACACACACACACACACACTGGTTTAGTGGTTTATGGGCATTCTCCATAGGTATAATTTATTCAATATTGCAAAAAAATTGTATTGCATTTGTGTCCATACCTAAGTGGCTATGTGTGTGTGTGTGTGTGTATAATATGTTGAGGTTGTTTGTAAAAGTTACCTGAAAGCGATACAAGGATGTGTCTGGTTTAAGGATAAGTCTCTTATGGTCTTGTAGTGGATAGATGTATCCAAATGCCACCATCATGGTGCCCATAGCTCGGGCCTCTAAGGATTAAGACACAAAAAAAAAAAAAAAAAAAACATACATAATTACACTTTAAAAATTAATCATGATGAAGTTTATCAATAGCTGTTTGTAATATTTTGATTTTGTTTAATTTGTCAGTTTTTTATATGTTGTCAGATTCTTTAGAATGGATCTAAATCCTTAAAATCAAATACTATTAGATTTAATCAGTTAAAATATACACTGTAAAAAATGCTGGGTTCCAGTCAAATTCTTCATGTTGTCCCAACACAATTTGCTTAAGATTGCTACTTTTTCATATGAACCATGATGCTGTGTGTGAATTACGTAAGTAACTTCCATTAAGCTGTCACCGATCATTGAAATATTTAAAAAAGAAAACAAAAAACTGGACACAACAAGGTGTCATTATTCTCCTCACCACTCTTTCATTGAATATTAAAAAGCAACTTATTGGAAGGAACAAATTACTTTCAGCAAGCCATAAGCAACCCCCAAAAAACTCAAAAGTCTTTCCAAAGCAATATTATAGATTTATATAGAATATTACTGTACTGTAGGGAATACAAGGAGAAAATAACATGGAAGAACAAAACCCAGTTAACTCTAAACAGATTTGACCACAGATTTGCTAAAGCTAAAGCTTAGTTCACGCAAAAAAGAAAATTCTGTCATCATTTACTCACCCTTTACTTGATTCAAACCTTTATGCGTTTCTTTTTTATTTTAAACACAAAAGAAGATATTTTGGGGAAAAATAATTAATCCTATAACCATTGACTTCCGTAGTATTTGTTTTTCCTACAATGAAAGTACAGCATATTTCAAAAAATCTTTTTTATGTTCAGTCAGGAAAAAAAAACTCACAAAGGTTTGAGGGTTGGTAAATAGTTAGTAAATGTTCACGTTGAGGGGAACTATTCCTTTAAAAAAACAAGTCTAAAGTTATTTTCATAACAGATAAAAATAAAGCATAAAGTCAAACATAACATAATGTGTATTACAAAATGTATACAGCTTATTTGTAGCACAACCTTATGATTTAAAGTTATTTGTTTTAATCCTTTTGAATGAAAGCATCCCCAACCCACAAGTGGACTCATTTGTGGAAAAATATGTTTAGTTTTTTTTTATTAATTCTTTTATAATCCTTACATTACTAAACACACAAAAAAACAATGTATTTGACTTACCCAGAGCATCTACTTTGAATCGATAAGCAATCCATGCCACAATATCTTCTCCTAAAAAACCCAAAGTAGGGAAAAAACACAGTGACCATTATATTGTTTCACAGCAATGAAAGGACAGTTCAGTGGGTGAAGGCTTTGGCTTATCTATTAAATGCGCCCACCAGGAGTCTCAGCACAGACACAAACACACACACACACATGCATGGCTGCAGACACGCACGCACACGCACACACACACACACACACACACACACACACACACACACACACACACACACACACACACACACACACACACACACACACATTTAATTAAAACATCCTGAGATAACATATATAAATATATATATATTTTACACCTTTTTACACAGTATTTTACACATTACTGTTTCTTCTTTATCAATTTAGCAGGCTTTTGAGACTCATCAAAAGCATGAAATGAATAAACAACAGTGCATATTAGCTATGAAACAAAGGCTCTTTCTCAAAATAGGTATCGCACTAGGACTTGGTGCACCACTGTGTGTCCCGCTGTGGTTCTCGTGATGGTAGACTAATGAGAAGATCTCTGCAGGGGTGAATCTGAGTGCCTTCATTAGTGCCTGCCAGCCCGAGGAGCAGATAGTATCATTTCAATCAATTTTTAAACAAAAACCTCAGGTGTCTTTCCATTATATCGTTTGCATCAAAAATGCTGTAACTAATCAGTGGCTCCAATCAGGTTTAAGCAATGCAGTTAATCACCAGCTGTATGTTACACATAAGTGCCAACATGCCATTTTTAGCTAATAGAGTTATTTCTAATTCATTTAAACCATGGACCTTTATATATTATGGTGTATAGGTTGGTTCAGTATTGATAAATAGACTTACGGATAGACTTATGCTGAGATTTAATAATACAGTATATCAAAATAACCTTAAATGCTCACTAGACATTGAATTTTGGTTCAAGACTAACATAACTTCTGTGTAAATGTAGCTTTTTATTTCTCCAAAGAAAAAAATCTGATACTGTCAAATGCCCAATAATAAATAACATTTCTGCCTGAATGAAACTTGTTCAGGTGTTGCCATGTTTTTCAGTGTATATATATATATATATATATATATATATATATATATATATATATATATACTGTAGGCATTATGACAGACAGTGGAGATTACAAGAGCTCTCCTCCTGAAACCATACAGCCTGGAGGAGCGAGTCATTGCAGCTGCTCAGAGGTTGTCATGGCAATAGATTCTTCAGTCTCAGAGACACATAAGCAGTCTCGAAATGCATGGAACGCACTGACAACTAGCAGGAGTAATATAACTGCACAAATCAATACAAATGAGTAGGCGAGCCCACTGTGGCCTTTTCAGATCTCTTATTTTCTCTTTTGTAAAGATTCTATTTGAAGAAACTATTTTTTAAGCACTGCAAAGTAACTGTGACTAAAACTTCATGGCCTACTCAAGCCAAACATGACATAATTAAAGATAAAAAGTTAAAAATCATCCACATCACAACTGTAACATATCTGTTAACCATCAGGATTCTCCCGTATTTTACAATTCCCGCTGTCTTCCCCTAAAGGTATTTTCCCCTATTTACACCAGTATTTATTTAATGTAATCAAACAAAAAATCTATATGAATAATTCCTTTCCTGCTCTTTAATCAGAATGTTTAAACTTTAAAATGAAGAAAAGGTAATGAGATCTGATCATTTTATTCACTTTCATTTGAAAAGGCTAAACTATTTGTATTTATTTGCAGATAACATATTACTGACCATTTCAACTGTTTATTTACAATGAAAAAGCTCCAGATGAACATATTCAGTAATATCCCTTATTTACACATCCCAGTGTTGACAGGTATGACTGTAATAAAGATGGTACAGACAGATTACAAAGTGTAAACAAATGCTGGTTGTCCCAACACCGATAGTTAAGTCAACTTAATTTTTTTTACTAATTTGAGTAGGTTGTTTGAGTTGTTGGAGTTTGATTCCCGGATTAATAAAGGGACTAAGCCAAAACTAAAACAAATGAATTAATAAATGAGTAGGTTGAACATAAAAAATTAAGTTGTCCCAACAAAAAAAAAAAACTTTGTTGTTTTTCATTTTGTCTAAGTGGCAAAGGTCACTTTTTAAGTGCAGAATTGTTGAAATTAATCATGGACTATTGCGGCAACAGCACATTGCTTGGGAATAACCAGAACTACACCAGCAGTTCTACCACTATTCTTTTTCCTTCTTGATAAATTGAATATGTCCAACAAAATTAAATATTGCTATAACACTTTATATCATCTTTGCAAAGAAGCTTCAGCCTAATCTACATTGTAAAAGGTGATATCAATAATAAGGCATTAATTGCTTATACTAATAAGTGCTCAAGTGCACACATACTGCTTGTCACACATAAATCCCCCCCTACCAACCCCCCCCCCCCCCCCCCCCCCACCCCCCCCGGCATAACAAATGACCAAGGAAATTTGTAAGGGAAACCCCATAGTGAAGCTGCATTAACAATTTAATAACTTATTGATAAACTTGTGTTTTCTTTGTTTATTGGCCAGAGGTGAAGACACTGACTTATCATGTCCACAGTAGTGGAATCAGCTACATGTTTCATTTGGATTAATCAATCTAAGATTATTGACTTTCCATTTGATCTGGTTAATTTAAAAGAGTTTTAGAGTTTTTGCTAAGGCAAGTATACCAGGAGATTCCTTTTTGTTGTTGTTGTTTTTTTGATGCGCAGAAGTTCACAATGCTGCTTTTACTTTTAACAAAAGAGCAATGATTCATTTCTATTGTGGGTACACTGAAACAAATCCTTGGAAATGTAAAATTTTTATTGTATTATTGTAGTAATGACGAACTGCTACACTTTTTTTTTTTTTTTTAAATAGGCTCTCTAAAAGATAAATACCATTTTTGATCTATTTAGCTGATTTCTGGGTCCAGTGGGAGAATTTTTCAGTTTAGCTTAGCATAGATCATTGGGTTGTATTAGACAATTAGCCTCTCGCTCAAAAATGGCCAAAGAGTTTCGATAATTTTTATGTTTAACGATTGACTCTTTTGTCGTTACATTGTGTACTAAGAATGAAATTAAAGTTGCTATTTTCTAGGTCAATATAGCTAGAACCTAAACCCTCTTTCTGGTGTAATGTTCATGGAGGAGTGGAGAGCATGAGTCTGATTCCTCAAAGACCCCAGTGACAGATGAGTCTTTGCATTTATCCCGTGGTCCAGCCTGATCATCCACCAGTGACCTACTCACACCAGCAGTTCTTCAAAATAGACGTCCAGTGTTCTGCAGCCTCCGGCGCCTAGACTGCAGCTCAGCTCTGCCCAAGTAGTTTGGGCAGAGGAGAAATGGTTGTGCCCAACAGACCCTGGTCTCTCTATAGGTTTTTTTTTTCTTCACTTTCGTCAATTTGTGAAGTTTGTTCCTTGCCACTGTCACCAATGACTTGCTTTGTTTGTGACTTGTGAAGCAGCACATTGATTAATTTGCTCTTTAGTGGTTGGACTTTCAGCACTGAAAATGAACTGAACTTCAACTCTGACAACTAGACTGACACAGTTTCAATTTACGAGAACTTCTATGTTAAGCTGCTTTGACACAATCTGCATGGTAAATGCCCTATATAAATAAGCATGAATTAAATTAAATTGTAATAATTTAGGAATTTTGCTAAAATACCATGGCTTTGGTATTATGCAGTGCCTGAGAATCTTGCTACTATGAAATAATTTTTAAAAGATGATTCAGAACTAGGTTAGGTTAGGTTTTGTGTAATATCATTGTGCCTACCCCAGCCTTGGTAGAGCAACAAAGTTCCTTGTTTTGAAGCTTGAAAATAGCTAGCTTTAGTCTTAGTACATGATTCAACTAGAGTATAGTCACACTTTGAATAGTAAAATTTAATGACTTTGGTCATTTTTTAGCAAGATGCTAATGGTCTAACCTGATTCAATGAATATGCTAAGATCTGCCATACCAAGAGATTTACTGAATGGGTTCAAAAATAATAAACTCATGGGTTTAGCTCTAGGATACTTATAAAATGAGCACATTTTTATAAAAAAAAATGTTTTGAGTGTTCTTTTAAGAGCAACTGATAACATCCTGCCCCAATTTGTCATGCAGTGAACACAGCTTAACTGCACAGACACTTTCATTCATTTATTCATTTTCTTTAAGCTTAGTCTCTTTATTTATCAGGGGTCACCACAGTGGAATGTACCATCAACTTATCCAGCATATGTTTACACAGCGGATGTCTTTCAGCTGCAACCCAGTACTGGGAAACACCTATATACTCTCATTTACACACATATACACTATGGCCAACTTAATTTATTTAATTCATCTATACATATGTCTTTGGACTGTGGGGAAAACGGAAAACCCCGGAGGAAATCCATGCAAACATGGCAAGACCATGCAAACTCCACACAGAAATGGCCCAGCTGGGACTTAAACCAGCGACCTTCTTGTTGTGAGGCAACAGTGCAAACCCCTGAGCCACGGTGTTGCCCCTAGAGTGGTCATGTTATGTTGTTTTTTGAGCTTGAAGAATAGAGACCAATTGCATGCCCTGACATACTGTTCCCACTTAGACCAGCGCTTTACAATCTGTCTATCATGGATAGCGTGATTCACTTTGTCATAGATTGCTTCTTAGAAATCCACGGGATATAGTGTCCTGTGGATTTCTAAAAGGCAAACTGTGACAATTTGACTCCTTTGACTAACAGTAAGGCAATTATAAGAAGGCAGCCCTATTTGTTATGTAGGTGTGCTTCTGTTCTGGGTCTAGTGTTGTACTGTTATGTGTTTTTCTGAAATCTTCAGAAAAGAAAGTACTGCAAATAGATCCCTCGCCATGCTTGTTGTGATGTTCTCACCTGTTATAGCATGTGGTATGGTGGTGATAACAAGCCTTTGTGTCTGACATTTTACACCAGTTTTGGGGTCCTGCATCTCCAACACCACAGATTCTACCTATGATGCAAAAAGAAAAAAACAAAACAAAAAAAAAAAAAAACAGAAGAAACGAAAAGAAGTTGGAAATGTAAAATGAGAATTTCAAGTGCCTAGGCAGTTAATTTCCAATAATACTGGTTTATTGATCTTTCTGGATTGTCACAATCAAATAAGAGCAATACCAAGTTTGAAGATGTACTGTATCAGTCTGAATGTTTGGTTTCAGACTTTTTTGGTTAAGTTTGGTTCTCAGTTCAGATTTTAGTACTTAATTAGTTTTGTACTGGGGCTGCACAGCATTGATATTGCAATGATCATTCGCAATAGTGACATTGCAGGATTTGCGATAACAAGTCTGTATTATAATGTATCATTTGCATGTGCTTTTGAAGCCTGTGACTTTATGAAGATTTTAAAAGCATTCAGCCATAATAAATTGTACCGTCAGTAACTTTAATATTAATTAATTTTGTTAAATTATTTTTATTTTTATTATTCAATTACTGTACCTAAATAACTGTTAAAACTTGGAAAATGATAAATCACTGTCTGTTTTTATTGTAACCTTTTCTTTAATGTATTTTATTCGCTTATAAGAATTTATGCAGATTTTATGCATTATCATCCCAAACAATCTAAAATTTTTAATTCAAGTCATCTGTTAAATTGTATTCATATCACAATATATATTGCTGAATATCACAAAATATAATAATGTTAGATTTTTCCAATATCGTGCAGCCCTATTCTGTACAAACAAAATTCAGAAATGTATCAGAAACAACCACATTTATCAAATGAATAATTCCCAAAATAAGCGGGTAGTGATAATCATCTTTACAAACAATCTGAGAAGAGTCTACAGAACTGAACTCAATTAATGGTTACTAATGATGCACTGTATACAGTATACATCTGTATTAGAGCTGTGTTTCTTTTTTTATGACCATGGTACAAGAAATCACTGGAAACAAAGGTGTGTGTGTTTTTGTCAAGTAGAATGCGATCTATTGATAATCTTGATAAGTTTTACAATATATGGCAACCATTTCTTGATCACCTGAACCAATATAATGTGGATTCTGTGCAGCAGTGTAATGCTTAATATGCTTATTACCCCTTTTAACTGCCTCTTTGTGTTTGTGTTTGAATCAATGAAAAAGTTTATTTGCCCTATTTTTTAAAATAGTAACTTACACTTTTAATTTATTTTTATTATTATTATTACCATTATTTTCTTTGTATTATCATGCTTATTTCATTTTTTATTTTTGTTGTGTTGTTTGGTAAGTATTGAAAAATGTAAAACTAATAGAAATGTAGAATGCAATCTGTATTGATCTTTACGTTGATCCTGGATCATCATTCTTGTTTGAAAATATCCCTGCCCCTAAACATCCCCTGAACGAAAATCCCAAAAGCTAATTATAAGCCTAAACCTAAAATAAACTATAAACTTCTCTCTTTAATCTGTTTTCTTATTAGAATGTTCTTCATGGCTCAACATATATGTTACTTAGTGAAAACATACTAACCCATACATGTGACCTTACAAATTAATAAGCCATATGCCATAAGTATCGCAATTTGTCTACTTTGTTAACTTCAAAAACTGGATCACTTAAAGAAATAGTTTACCTGAAACTGAAAATTTTGCAACGTGGTGGCACAACAGGTAGTGCTGTCACCTCACAGCAAGAAGGTCACTGATTCGAGTCTCAGCTGAGTCAGTTGGCGTTACTGTGTGGAGTTTGCATGTTCTCCCCGTGTTCACGACTTCGCGTGGGTTTGAATGAATGAATGACAATTCTGTCAACTTTTTACTCGCCCTTCATAGTTTCTTTCTTCTGTTCAACAAAAATGAAGATATTTTGAAAAATGTTGAAAACCAGTAACCATTGACTTAACATTGATTTTTTTCTACAATATTATTCAATGGTTACCAGTTCCCAGCTTCAAAATATCTTCTTTTGTGCTCAACATAAAAAACAAACTTAAATGTTTGGAACCACTGTTTATGTTTGCATGAACTCTCACTTTAAGCCCAAAGATACTTATTAACGTGTTGTGTATAATAAGTGAACATGGCAACACTTCAAGAGTGTACAGACTCTGAAAAGCAACCTTTCAAGGAGAAAGTTTAGTTAAAAATGTATGACTTTAGTAAGTCATTTGTCACTCTAATATCACTTCAGTCAAAAATATCAGATACCAAGTCAACAAAATGATAATTCACTCCTGTATGTGAATATGGTTGTCGCTCCCATTTATGACCTTCAAAATTTGTGTGTGGCCTTTGTTTCATAATAGACGAATTTCACAACATCAACACTGTTATTAAACGCAATTGATTTAACACTGAACTGTTGTCTTCTGATGAGCTGCTTATAGCTGAACTGAACTCGTTTTAGAATTGATTAACTGTGCACATTTACTGAACTGAACTGAATCAAATTGAATAATTACACTGTTGTCTTTCTTGAAGCATCATTTAAAATTGAAAGCTTTGTGCGCATCCCAGTAAATTATGCCACGGTGAAGTATAGTCATCCCTGCTGGTTTATGGTCTGAAGGGGCTGCCGCGACCCCTTTGAAATATACTGCGTGATTGATTTGTGACTCAGCTGTTTGAAGTTTTTCTTGCTTTTTGTGAACTCACACTGCACCCTGGTCTGGATCACAGAAAGCTCTTGGCTGAGTTATTAGTTCGTTACTATCTGTGCATTGGCAAAGAGCAAAGTAATGCACCAATAATACGTGGTGTAGTGGATCACACTCACTGTTGGAGGCATATGCGGTTTGAAGTATTGCATTGATAGAAGAAGGGCTGGCTGCATTATATTAGAGGATCATGGCAGAGCCGGACTAAGAACATTAGCACACAGTGACCTCATCTGAGAGTAAGCTGCTAATAAACAATTAATAAATATGCTCTCTTTATTGCTATGTCATATATTTATTTGCACTTTTTAACTGCATTTAAATTGTTCCCTTAATTTATAAATATATGTTACCTTTTTTCTTTGTAACTTTCGTTAAAAGTGGCCAAAATGTGCACTTTAATATTTTGTAATGCATTACTTAAACCTAAAATTTATATTTATTATTGAAGTTTTTAGAAATATAATTTGGGCTGCACGATATTGAAAAAATCTGACATTGCGACGTTTTATATAGCTGTGATTTATATTGCAATATTAATACAATTTCAGCAGATGACTTGAATAATTCTAATTGGAATGAAACCATAAACATTGATTGGAATAACCTTGTAGAGAAGTGAATCAAAGAAATTGCAAGAATAAATAAGAGAGAGCAAAGATAACAGTGAAAGAAGTACTCAGATATTTTGGTACGGTAATAGGATACGATATTATCATGATATTTTGCCCCCGATTATGATAAATCACGATATAGGCGATATATCACAAGACAACTATCTACAATATATCATGGTATTTGTAAATGAAGGGGAAAAATGCATCAAAAAGTTATAAATGTATTTCTTTTATTAACAACACATTTATTTCTTAAAATTTCACCAATAAAATATGTTAGATTCAGACTTATGAGAAGTGACCCAGTTGCATATCGCTATTTTGTCCTACCCCTATTATTGAATAATCAAATGTAATGTAAAATGTAAACACTGTACGTTCTTCATTGCTGATCAACAAGAATAATCCCGACGCCACATTGCAGAGCTGTGATGTGGCTAGTGCGAATGCACACATTGCAATATTGATGCTGAAACAATCTATTGTGCAGCCCTTTGTAAAATGATATTTTATTACCATTATAATACCATGTACTATTTATTATTTTGTGAATTAATTTCGGCAGTCACTTTATTTATTGGAAGTGAGCAGTAAGTCTGATATTTAAACTATTACAATAAACTATAGTCTGGGGAATGTACACACACACACACACACACACACACACACTTATTTAATTCAGTATTCATGAGTATTGAAAAAAATCATTATTGACAGTGCAGAATAAAATGCAAAGGCAATTAATAAAACTAACATCAAAACAAATATGGCAAAATTTCCCGTTTTAATTAATCTAATTAAAAAGTTCCTCAGTGGTCAAAGCAAGGGCAGTGTTTGAATGTTTTTAATTTAATTTGAAACAATAAAAGTTTATTATAGCATAGAAAAATATAGCTTGAAAATTCAGAATGGACGGAAACCTCCATTGAAGCGGTCAACCTGTAGTAATCCATGGTAATAATAATGAGGATTAAAGAAACGATATTGGTCCGCTCAATAACAGTAAGACCATAAGAAAATTCATAAGAATTCAAACCTGTATAAACCAAGAGCAAAATTATTTGTTATCTCCTTGGCGAGAATGTAAATAACAGAGATGGTTATGAGGAGCTGTGGATGGATGGAGATCTCTCAACCCACCTTCTTCAGGCATGCCATCCGCGGTCTGTAACGCTGCCCGTGGTCCCGGACATTCCTTATGGTCATATTCGCTTCTTCACGACACAGGCCGTCGACGAATGAAACGGGAAATTCACGCCAGGTAGTCGCACTCTCGTTTTGCCAATGTCTAATCTATAATCATCACTGATGCACACAAAGACGATGGGCTGTGTGAGCCAATCAGGCAACAGCTCTGCTTGTGTAGGTAAACCTGTGAGCAATTACAGCAGCGCATCATCTCCGGTAGATGGCGCTGTGTCGAGTTTATTTTCCCAAATGAAGGCACATGAATACGTCAAACGTTTTATTTATTTATACATTTAAACGTTATTTTTAAATGCATTGATTTATTGCTTTAATAAATGTCAATAAAATCACTATTAAAAAAACACATTTAAATATGTCTATTTATTTGTCCATTTAAATTGTGTTTTATTTTATACACATTTTAATGCTTCAATTATTAAATTGATCATTTGATTTTTATTCTAAACGGTACTCCTGGTCCTCCATACATGAACTGCAATCAAAAATGAAAGATTATGAGCTTGATCTACAGTTTTATTGTAAGTCTATAAAGCATTTTATCCTGTTAAGGAGTTTACTGAGAATAAAAAATATAATTTGTGCTTAAAACGGTTTTGAATGAGTTGTCATTTTAGAAATAGGTTAGGTTATGTTAGTTTGGGTTACTTTATTTATACCTGAAGGTAGATTTGGTTTGCAGTCAAGAGTCCACATTTCATAACAGAGCCACACTATTTCCAATAAAATAAAATAAATAAATAAAATAATAAATGAAGAATCACAACAACTGGACCCCCCCCCCCCCCAAATTTTTTTAAAAATAAATAAATAAATAAATAAAAAATAAAAAATAAGAATAAATAAATATTTAAAACAATCGATAAAATGTAAAATACATTAATCACAGAAATAACTCTGCTTTAGTCTGTAGACCTTAATTAAATGTCTAATGGTTGCTGGTAGGAAACTATACAAAACTAAAACATGAAGGAACTGAAACTCTGAGTTTAGGGCATAAGCGGTATCACTTTAATTTAAATTTTAGCTGCCTGGTGTACACAGGCTCCAGATTGGCTATAGTGACACTCCAGTCAGCTTACTGGACCACTTAACTATTGGACTGATGAGCCTAGCTCTATTACGTATTGGGGGAAAAATAATTCCTAAATAGAAAAGAATCATTACCTCACTATAAGATATATATTTTAAACTAATTCAAAAATTATATCCGGTTAAACATTTTCTCATTTAAGAAAGGATATTGATATAATTTGCTCTTTTTGTTCTTTGCATTTGTAAACTGTACCCCACATCTTTTGGTTCCGTGGTTATGTTAAAAAGCTTTGGTATGATGCTTCTGTCAAAAAAGGTACTCTTTAATTTTTATTTGCATTTTGAAAACGTTATTTGTGGATAATTATGATAATCTGAACAATGAAGTTTTTGTTGTTGATTAAGTTTCATATTCATAAGTGTAACATTTCCAAAAAACACTGTTCTACTTTGTTACATAAGGCACTTAAAATTTACTTTTGTACTGCTCAGCAGAGTGCTATTAGCAAGGTTATTAATACTGTCCACATGTGTTTTATTTTCAGAGTTTTGATTTTTGCAAAGGTCCTGCTTGTTTGTAATTGCAAGAAAAAAATATTTAATTATACTCTTGTTTTTTTTTGTGCTGTTATTATTATTTACCTTCTATCACCCTATAATTATTTTGTTAGTTTTATTGTCTGTCTATCTTTTGTTTAAAGCATAATTAAAAAATAATACAATTTGTTCTTAACAGAAAGGTTCCCAAACCATGACACCAACGAATAAGATAAAACAGATTGAAAAAAGCATAGTAAAATAAAATCCTCATGTGTTTATTATGGAAATAATTTCACTTTCTCAAACAGCATGGTCTCAAATCGGGGAAATGGGGAGGTATTTCTATAAAATAATGTTTTATACATATGCACTGCATGCAGTCTAGGCCGGTAATTAAACACACATTAAGGTTTGCTTGTTTAAGATTAATGAGGGCTGGACGGTGGAGCAGTGGCACATTCACCTCAAGAAGGTCTCTGGTTCAAGCCTTGGCTGGGTCAATTGGTGTTTCTGTGTGGAGTTTGCATGTTCTCCTGGTGTTCGCGTGGGTTTCCTCTGGGTGCTCCGATTTCCCCCACAAGTCCAAAGACATGTGGTACAGGTGAAATGGGTTGGGTAAATTGTTTATATGTGTGTGTGAATGAGTGTGTATGGATGTTTCCCAGTGATTGGGTATTTAGTTTATTCAACTCACCTATAGCGCATGCCTTTGAACTGTGGAGTAAACCGGAGCACCCGGAGGAAACCTATGCCAACACAGGGAGACCTGTGCAAACTCCACTCAGAAATGCTTACTCAATTTGAATTTGAACCAGTTAGCTTCTTGCTGTGAGGTGACAGTGCTAATCACTAAGCTACCGTGTCGCCCACTAAAATATTTTCTCAAAAAAATGTTTCATTAGGAAACTTTCTACCACTTACTTTTTAAATACTATTTTAGAGTGTGTGTACATAAAAATGTGTGTGGTTTTCACAGGAATTTTATATTACTGACAACATCCACTTCTCAAACTTGCTGATGTTTAGATGTTTTTCCAACACTGATATTTAAATATTATAGATCAATGTTTTCAACCCAAATGATGTGACTTGCCGAAAAAAGCCATGGGGAAACATACATTTTTTATTAGGTTCATCTGGTCGGACATTAAAATATAGATACATACAGATATTAGCACTGATATAATTCACCAAACAAGAAATTTGCAGGAAAACATAATTATACACTAAAAAAGTATATAAACAAACATAAAATACCACATTTATACACAAAGATATACAAACATAAAATAACAAAAATAAAAGAATAAACAAATAAAAACAAACAAAAATAAACAATACAAAGAAAAGAAAGATAGAAAGGCAATTAAGATATAGGTGTCTCCTTACAAAAAATTTAGAAAAGGTCTCCACTGTTCTGGCTTTTGTTTTATTGCAAACCAAATCTTTTCCATCCAAAGAGCATGCATGAAATCAAAAACCCATTGCCAAAAGAAGGGGGAGTTGCTGACTTCCAATTTATAAGAATAAGTCGTCTAGCCAGTAAGGTTGCAAAGGCTACGCTTTCGGCCTGTAATGAATTTAATTCAGCATATTCTGGTAGGATTCCAAACATGCTGTTAAGGGGTTTGGGTCTATTGATAATGAAAAAACAGCAGAAAAACACCTGAAGATTTTCACCAAAAAAATCTGACAGTTTCAAACACGACCAAAAAGTATGTACCAGTGTGGCTGGTTTGGTTGTACATCAAAGGCAAGTTGGGTCAAGATCAGGGATAATTTTTATTCAGTTTAGTTCTAGGCCAGTGTATTCTGTGCACGACCTTAAATTGAATGAGAGTATGCCTAGCATTTATTGATGAAAAATATATTCTTGCAAGAATAAAATCCCAAATATTTTCTTTGATTGTTAAATTCAGTTCCTCCTCCCAAAAAGCCCCCAGTACATGTGTTGTGGGGGACTGTTTTGTGTTAATAATAGTAAAAATTTTAGAAATAACCCTGTGGAGAGGTAAGCGTGATCGAACACCCAATAAGGGGGGAGAGCATGCTCTGAGCCACACACACACACACACACACACACACACACACACACACACACACACACACACACACACACACACACACACACACACACACACACACACACACACACACACACACACACACACACACACACAAGTACAAATTTTAAATGTTGGTCTTTTTGTAAAGCACTTTGATCAACATCTGTTGTTTTTAAATGTGCTGTATGAATAGAGCAAACAAAAACTTATTAGACTACAGCAGCACAAGTGCAGTAAAGACAGAGTTCACTTGTTTTTACTCTAGATTACTGCAACTTGTACTGCTGATGATCTTTATTGCACTAAACTGTGTTTATACTTCATTGTATTGCAATTTTGTAATTGTACTTTCTTTTACTGCAGTTATACTTCTATATACTGCTGTTTTTTTTTGTAAGGGTTTGTTTAAATGCTCCAGCATATATTGACTCACTGAGATGTTGATAAAAATAAGCTGCACTCATTTATGCTGAGCACTCTATGACAATGGGTCAGACTATATCTGAAGCATTTAGAATTAACATTCTCTTTTAAGTTAGTTTAATGCTTATTGTGTCTCAATGCATTGACTCTGTTTTTAAAACACCAAACTTAGTGTTACCAGACATCTCTAGTTCATCTGACTCTGTGCTCTTGTATCTTCTTTCCTGTTTTTCTTCTAATATAATCACAATTTTAACAAGCACTAATTTGATTAATTCAATTTCAGCTCATCCTAATTTCTGTAGAGTTTTGCTCCAGCAACCTCAACCAAGGAAGTCAGATATGCCAGTGAAAGCAAAATTTCAGCAATTGGCAGAAGTGAAGAACAAACATTTGGAGAAACCAGGCTCAGCCCAAACAGCTGCTATTGAAAGCCAACAAACAGCAGTTTTCCACTGGCCGAATGAAGTGAGCAGAGCTGCAGTTTGGCCATGAGAGAGCATCCATTGTTATTGTAAGGTCCACCCAGTTGGCCCAAATGCCGGTGTCCACTGGTGGATGAAGGTTCACTGCATGTTCGGTCTTTCCAGTGCACAATGTTGATTTATATTAAACTTAGCTCATATCTGACTCCAATTTTAATATGAGGTGGTTTAGAATATTAATATATTTATACTTGTTTTATCTGACTCCAATCATAAAACATTAAGAAGATTATATCAATATGTAATTTAGATAAATGTTTGAACCTTTTGTCTTCACTAGTAATTATTACATCCGTTCATTCGGGTGCTCATGTCGCTCAGAGAAATCGCCTCGGCCGAAGGCGTCCCTTACGGTCACACTCCGGTCACACTCCGGTCAGTCTTGAATATTAAACAGAGGTAAATTGACTAATACTTTAGATGGCCGCTACCAGCGCGCTCGTTCTATAATACTTTAGTTAGTCCCGCTTAGATGTACACCTTTGAGTTAAGACAATCATCATTTCT